TAAAATATTGTATTCATGAAATTTTGTGGAGTGAAAATTTGAATGATGACTTTCATCAAGCACATTCCTACGAATACAACAAGGACTATTCAACTTTTCCAACCAATTAAATTGTGTAAGACCGTACTCAGCAATAAAGCACAAGCTCTTGGTTTCTTGCCGTGTAGCCAAAAAAAAAAATGACGCGATGAGTTGTCTTTAAGTTTTGGCGCTTTCTGATTTGCAAGTTCAGTCGTTCTGTATTTGGGGCCGCACCCCTCGCGGCGCTCCAATAATTACTGGGGGCAGCCCGGTGGCCCACGTGTGGCAGCTGATTGAAATCGGTGTTGTAGGTGTCAATCTTTCTGCTTTGGCCAACAAAAATTGAGACTTTGGCCCGCCCGTTGACTTGTCTGCCGCTGACTTATTTGCTCATCTGGCCTCGTGCCCACTTTGATTTCCCCTTGCACAAATTTTCCATTTCTGTTGGATACGTTTGTCTGCAAGTTTTATTTACTCGTAATTGGTTTTCATAGCCGCTGCTCTATGACTTTTGGACACTTCCTGGCCGCAACACTTGCTGCATTATTCAGCTTTTAATTAAATATTCGCGAGAGAATTTAATTGCTTGCAAATACGCACGAAGCGACAGATTTCCAACGGCAGGTTCGTTGACCAGGCCAAAAAGAGGGCGAGGCAATCCCGCTGACAGCAGCTACAGTATTTTGATTAATTAACGAGCGACGGCCTTTAGGGGCAATAGGCATCGAAGCATCCAGCTCAGGACACCATGACACGCGCTTTCCTCTCAGCATTCACAGTCAAGCCGCAAACGAAGGACTCACTGTCGAGTGGAGCTGCTTACTTGGCTCTTTTCCAGGGACTCCCTAGAAGCAAAGTCCTTTTTTGTGAGCCCCTAGATTGGTCCTGATACTTTGTGGGGAAACTATAAACTTGAATTTGCATTTTTTCCTGCCACCGAATTTGGTATACGAATATTAGAGGCAGGCTCCAATTCAAAAAGTGTATATTTGCGGAGGGCGGTTTTGAAATTTGTATTTTTATCCTTGTAGATAATCTTCAAAATAAGCTTACTGCGGTCATAAAACCCGAGTTTTGGAATTTGAAATTTATTTTTCCCACTTTGAAATTGGTTTTCTTACTTATAGATAATCTCACAAATAGGCTTACCATGGCCATAGAAACTCAATTCGAACTTTATTATGCCTTCTGGCACTGTGACGCAAAAGTAACCATTGAACCTAGACAATACATATAAAAAAAAGAAAATTACTATAAAGTAAAAATGTACTTAAATTGAATAAAAATTACTATAAAGAGTTCTAGGTAAAAATGAATAAACAAGTTTAAAAATGTTGATGCTTTATTGTCAGTGACTTAAAACTCAATTTAAAAATCGTAAATATGAAAAAACATGCACGAAGCCTTTGATATAAAAATTGGGTGTACCTTGATAAATTCCGCAATAAACTGAAAACCAATCAAAAAATACCTAAAAACCTCAATATAAATATGTTATTTATTAAAAGCCCTTTTAGCTGGTTGCCAACCCAGACTTGGCAACACTGCCTTCGTTTTCGAATTCGCATGGGGGTTGCGGTTGTGGCGTTTTCTATTTCTGCATTTGCGTCTAATTAAGTCAAGTTCAAAATTCTACTTAACACAGAACGCGTTGCTCTCACAACAGTTAGCGATGTATGTGCCCTGCATAATTTATACCCATAGCGCATATAGCTCACTCTTCATGTTCTATACTATATATACGCCTGATGACTGATGAGAGAAGAGTATAGAGAGTGAGTAAAAGAGACAGCCTCTGGAGGGCTGTGGTTAAGCGTTCGTGGATTTTGGTTTTCATTAGCTAACTAGTGGAAGCCATCAGCTAAGTGATTTAACTGTTGAATATTTGCGAATTCCGAATGCGTTGAGGTTAGTCCTTTGGAATGGCTTGGTGGCCGTGCGAAATGGATATTTATTATTACACCCACACAACTCATTCACAAGGTGAAACAATTACTTGCAGTGCATACCCGGAATACGCATAAATAATAATAATTTCCCAACAGAGCTCCGGAGTTTCTTCCCCATTTCTCCCCTCACGGCTAATTAACACCCTCCAGCCACTTTGGCGATTACTTTTGCGCAGGTATCAGCGGGTTTCTCTGGACCAGCAGGAGCTGAAGGCAGCATAATTTATTTATAATTGACTTAATAGACTTAACCATCCCTCGTCACACGGCACTCGGTATTTACTTCATTCAAATTAATTATTTTGCCGATTTATGACCGTGTTTTTACTCACACCCCTTGCTGGACACAAAGGTAAAGAAAGGGGAAACTCCTTTGGCAGACAAGCCAACAGATAATGTAGATATCGGTTTTCACACTTTTCTTGCCAAATATCAATCAAACACCTAAGTGTGTTTGCACATTCGGGAAACTTGACAGACAGACAGATAGACGGGGTTAAAAGTATTTATAAATTATTGTACAAGCTCATAATAAATGGGTATTGTTTTGTCTCTCGGGTCCCTGCTTAAATATAGATGGCAGCAAAATGAAGCTCAGCTGCCCACGTCAGGTGTCAAGGCAACGCGTCGTATACGTATTTTTTAGCTTTTATTTCGTCTGATTGCCAGGCAAGAGCAAACTCATGTCTATGGCTTTAGACTTTAGCTCAGCACGCGCCCGTCAAGTTCTGCACCCCGATTTCATTCATAATGTCTGGGCGCTGGTTGGCCGATAAGAAAGTCAAACTTAAAACTTTAAACATATCATGAAACAGGGCATCTTAATCTCGTGTGGCAAATGTTTTGACGCAATTTCGCCCAACACATTTTCCATTTACATACATTTGTCTAACTTTTGGCCAAATGGCCAAGTGGAAATGGAAAAGGTTGATGGGGCACCAGCTGACATTCCCTCACTTTCGTCTGGCGGCGTCTTCATTGTTTTGCAAACTGTTTTACAGGTGCTACAAATTTGAATATAAATACACAAGCAGCCAGCGAGCATGCTGTGTGAAATAATAAAATAAAATGCCATTCAATGGCACAGCGCCGCTGTGTGGCACTGTGGTGAATCTTTAAGGGCAAAACAAAATTAAATTTTTATGTAGAAGCTACGTGATTGTTGATAATTATTTAATAAAGTCAAATTGGAACGTCAATTATTTATTCTATATCAAGGAATGTATCGTTTAAAGTGGAAAGCTACCTTTACTAATACCTACTAATACTTAAGAATTTTAAAAACAAAATTTATTTGAAATCAACATATAAATTAGGAGTTTATAAAACCAAATTTAATTTTACGAAATGTCTGTGAATAAAAAATGGTATGTATAATAGGCTAACTTTACTTTATTTATTATTGAATCTTTAACATTAATATTTCAATAGGTTCAAAAATTAATGAAAAAAAAATGTCAACTTGGTCTAGACTATTTCGTTAGAGCAAAGTTTGTTAGCAAATGGAAACCCTTTAAGCACTTTATTTAATTTTAGACCCGAATTTATGTAACAGGCCACAGTATCTTGGCAGCCACGTTGAAAAGACGAGTCGGCATTTTGGCCAACGGGGACCATTCCAAGTTGTAGACACACACTCACCGTTTCCCACTTTCTTGCTGGCTGCAACTTTTCAATTTGTTCGCCCCGACTATTTACAATTTGGGGAAAACAAAACGAAACACGGGTGGAAAATATTTTGAGACAAACAAACGAGCCTTAATATCCAGTTTCGGCTACCAATTCGAATTTGCGTGTGTTTCGGGGTCTGTTTTCCAGCACGACGTGCGACTATGTCTGTCATTTAGATTTAAATTTAGTGGCTACTTAAAAGACTGGGGCGTCTTAAGTGGATTTTCACCGTCTGAACGGAACGGTGCTTTTCGGCATCGATTTTGTCGAATTGTCAATTAGTCTGCTGTTGGAGCAATCAAAGTATCGAATGTGAAAAACTCGCAGGAATAATGAACATAATCCTCTCCTCCATTTCTCTCAACTCAATCGCGCTGGCAATTATCCATTGTGCACGCGTCACGCTCCATAAAATTGAAATGAAATACTAAACTTTGGTCGTTATGACGCTGATTGCCATGAACTGCCAGTGCATACGCGGAATGGCACCGCGTGCATCGTCCAAGCCATAAACATAAGGCGGAAAAATGGAAAAAATGGCCAAGATGGAATCTTGGGGTGGACCTTGTTTCACTAGCCGGGACGAACTGACATAATAAAGTTTGTGCCGCTTACGCTTTGTCGCTGCCATATTTTTCGCTGTGAAATCAATTTTTCATTTTGAGGCAGCATGACGACGCCATTTTCCTATTCCCAGGACTATAAATGCTGGCCAATTGTCAAAGAGAACAGCGAAAGTGACTCCGGAGCAGACAGTGTAATGGTTTATATAATGCCGTCCAAAACAGAGCAACAACATAACATAAATTTGCTGCAAGTGGCTCGGAAAGAACAAAAGCCAGATGCTTTCGACTTTTATGACTCATACGCAACGATGCACAGAGTTCGCCTAAACAAAGTGCAGCAAACAAAAGAAAGCCCTTTGCCAAGTTGGCAACTGGGATTTGCTAGACACAGATAGCATTTAACTGAAAGATACCAATCTGAGTTCGTAACTCAATTTTGCGACTCTAAAGGTTTAACATTGAATCCTGTAATCCATTAATGAAATACGCCGTCATTTTAAGATAAGTGCATTTAGCTTGGAACTAAAACTTGTAAAATTTTTCTAAAGGCAACAAAAACAAAATATTTATTTTAGTATACAGTTTTTAGAATATCTTCTTCTGTTTCCCCTTTTAAACATCTGAAATAAAAATTTAAATATTTTTGAATTACAATTACATTCAAGCTGGTATTATTGCTTAACAATATAATTTTCTTGCTCAAATATAAGTTCGCGTTTAATATTAATTCATTTAAAGGTTGAAACAATTGTTTTCTGGTAAAATTGATTAGAAAATAATAAGCTTTGGGTTTCTATTCCTGTTCCGGTTCCAGTTCGCCCATGTTCAGGTCCTTCAGATCCTTTTGAGCTTCCTCCAGGTTGGGAAGGTCATCACTCTTGTCGTAGTCATAGTCGGACCATCCCTGGATGCCGTCCTTCATCTGGCTCTCGATATCCTCATAAGCCACCGCCATCGGTGCCACAGGCTGGAAGGGATTACGCCTCTGGCTGGACTCCTCGATGATAGAGTCCACTTTCTCCAAGCGTCCCAGCAGACGAAGCAGTTTTCCACGCGTTGCCTCGATCTTGGAGCTCACCACGTAGTCCGGAGATGATTTTGGTTCCGGGACTTTAGGTCGGAATTTGGGAGTCCGCAAGGTTAGGGTAAAAAATGGCCCTTTGCGAGGCGATTGACTCATGCTTACTATCCAGTAATTTAAAGGGACTAGAGTTGAGACACCAGCTTTTGACTTTTGACAAACGATGCCAGTCATTCTCCTGGTGTGACCCTTGTAAGTATAAATATTTATACCATTTCTAGGAGAACCTATTTGCTTTAAACAGAACAAAGTTGCCAACTATTTAAAGTTTCTACTTCCAACATTGCTGCCTGCAGCGGAATTTTCTCTCATGTTTGTATGAACATTCTTTCGAAGAGTGATATATATATATATTTATTAATATATTTCAAAAAATGTAGCACCGCTAATAAATTTGTTTTTAAATTTGTATATGAACATAGTGTTGATTACATTTCCACCTTAAGCACAATTGTATTTTTTTCGTAACAAAAATTGTACTGAAGATAATCAGAATATCACCTTCACGAATGTGTCTTTTAAACTGCTCTCTTTTCACAGTAGACCTTAATCGGCTTCATTGTTGATCAACTCGCTGTCGTTATTTCGCAATCCTCTTGAACGCTTCTCTGATTTTCACAATCAAATTCAATGCAGCTCGACGGCTTTAGCGCCAATTCCGACAAAAGATGCCAATGGCAGTATCTTAAGTCAATTCGGGCGCCAAGAAAAGTGTTGGCTCAACAGACAGCTTACTCAAAATATGTCAATCAAATTCAGCTTTCGCTATCCTTTTCTCCGCCAACGCAAAGGCAAATATAATGCCAAGACCTCAGATTTAAGACTAGAGTGAGGTGTCCTACAGACTAGACACTTTTCTGGCTATTTTGCATGCAAATTCAATGCGCATTAACAGCAGCCAAGAACTTTAATTCTAAGGCGAACTTATGCAAGGTTCAAATGGGTTGATTCGCCAGTCAAAATACTTCAAAGCTCCTTGAGCTATTTACATATATAAATATTAAACATAAAAGACTTAGCTTAAGGGGCTTTTTCACTGGCCATCAACGAGTTTAAATTGAGATTGCATTTTTGTAATCGTGGAAGAAACTTGCGTAAGTTTCATTAGTTACAGATTAAGACAAGTTTTGTGAAAAAATTTTAGGGGATTAAACGTTATATAAAAAGTAAGCTTTAAACATTTGTAAACATTTTTGGAAAAACTAAGCCAGATTTTTTTGTTATTTAATTATTGACACATTTCATAAATAAGATTAGAAAAATAAAAACTTTAAAAATAGTGTTTATATATTTAAGTCTTATTAAACTAACTTCTAAACAAATTTAAAAAAAATTTAATTCTTTATGTAAAATGCCAATATAACCAAGTTCTTTACATGTTTATTACCATGCTACTAATTATCCGCGTACTTAAATTGTTATAACTATTTCAACCGTTTGTAGGTATTGGTTGAAGTTGTAAAAGATGTAAAAATTACTTTCGTTCTCAATTAACAAGCGATTTCACCTCAAAGTATTAAACCGCTTCAAATGAAATTTGTTGAAATATTACAACACCCTCCTCACTGCCTAAAGATAAGTTAGCAAAATGCCAAAACGGCGACATGTGGTGCCGCTCATCTTCCTTCCCCTCTAGAGCCCCTGGAAAATGGCAACTATCCCGCTGAGCAGCTGCGCTCGACCAAATTGAATGTGTCAGATGAGAAAACAGACGACCCAGACGGGTGTTTTTAATATAAATCATTGGCCAAATAGTTGCGTGTTCGCATTAGTGGGCCAAATACCTGGCTGCGGCGAACAAAAGTTTTTCGCATTTTAAAGGAGAATTTATTTGCGAATTTCGGGCACGTCATTCGAGGGCCGCCCGCAAAGTTGCGGCTAATCAATTTAAACTTGCAACCAAGGAGCAACGAACATGGACAGATGGATCCCAGACGCAGGCACATATGAATGCATAAATTTCCGAGAGGCCACATCAAAGTTCAGCAGCTCCTTTGTCTGCCACCGGCAACGTGACACTGCCATTTGGGGCTTAAATGTCTATTGTTGGCTGCTAATTGTTCGAGTTCCTGTCCAAAGGGTCAAGTCATGTGCTTCGTTCTTCCATTCAATTAGGGACACGTTCGTGGCATCACTTGACACGGCCTTGGTGTCATAAATTATTCCAAATCACTGAGTCCAGAGAGAGTATTTTATTGTAATTAAGGAAAATTACAGATTGTAACCGGCATTTATTAAATTTGATCCTGAAAAATACAGCTCTCAAGCATTGTCTAGTTTTTTTTTAAATCAATACTTTTTAATAACTATATTTGTGTCTTTCAATAAAGATTGTTATCCAAACACCAAAACAGATGGAATAAAATTAAAAATTAATAATTGGGGATAATTAAAGATATGAAAACTTATAACTTTATCAAGCAACACAAATAAAACCCTAGTATTTTGAAAAAATACGCATTTTAAATAATTACATTAAAAAAATACAATAGAGACCTTTTAAACATAATCTTGAGAGATTATGTACATATTCGGAGGATTTCTGCAACCTACAAAGGCAGTATTATTAATGGAGTGCTTAAAAGTAATTCCACATCCGGGAAGCAGCAATAAACGTTAAGATAATTTCTAACAGTATCATTTCATTGGTGTTATCTTACAAGCCATAACTAATTTGGAAGGAATCAAGTTGCTTGCCATTAAGCAAAACCCCATCTCAAAGTCACCCCCGGCGTATGCGCGATATTAATAACAGGCCAACAATCCAGCACCTGCTGGGTACCGAAATTTACACACAAAAGCCATGTTAACTGAAGCAAATATTTCTGCATTTTGCTGGCAAAGTACTTAAAGCATTTATTACGCAGCTTTTCGTTTGGGATTTATGAGTTTTTAAGCATTTGCACAGAGCCCTTGGGCTCAGGTCATATATTTTAAGATATATACTTTTAAGCACTCTTTTAATTTTCGCTGTTAATTTTCCCTTATTTCAGACAATGCCAGACTGAGGCGCAATCATGCTACACTTAAGGCTATTCGATAGCTCGCTCTACGACACGCTGGCCTCCGATCCGGAATCCTCGGAGATGGCAGTTGCCACCTCCGCGGAAAGGTCGTTCAATGCCAGCGAGGAGGACGTAGACGGTGCGTCCTTGGCACCCACCGACATGGCGGCAGTTAATCTGACATATTTCTCACCTGCGCTATCACACGTGATGCTGGCGCAAACAACGACAGCATCGGACACAATGAACCTGACGCTAGAGGAAGGATTGGGCAACTCCACGACCAGCGAAGTTGATAAATTAAATTCGTTCTTCTTTTTTGAGGTGGGTGCTGAAAAACAGCGAGAATATTCGCAAACAAACTAATTTATTTATAAGACTCAGCTGCACGTTGCGATTTTGAATTTGGCATTTGAACAGTGCCACAATAAGTGGCAATTTATAATACAATTTTTATGCCGAACTGAATATTCAAGTATCTAAATTCATCCCACGTTTGTGGGGAGAGATTTCATTCGTCGGTTACGCTTTTAAATTCGAATTAAAATAATTTATTCAGTAGAATGATGTCGTAGGTAGCTGAATATGTAAAAAAATATTTTGTTTTCTTTTTTAATAAAAATAATTTTTGTATTGGTTTTACCGATGCAGAATTTCATCATCAGAAGAAGATGTTATAAGAATGATTTGATTTAACCTACAACTTCTACATTCTACTGACTAGTTAGGGCAGTTCGACTGTATTTTAAATGAAATACAAAATTTTTTGAAGAAATGGACCAATAAATGTTTCCTTATTTTTAAGAAATATATATTTTCACACCATGAGCAAGTTTACTTCCAATGAAATCAACAATAAACAATTTCAATTCGATTTACTTTTATGAGGTGGGTGCGAAAAAACAGGAAGAATACTGGCCACTTATCCATTTTTTTTATTCTGTTTGAAAGAAGCAGCTGTATGCTATGATTTCCAATTTAATCGACTCACTGCAAAAAAAAATCAACAGAATTATTGACGAACATTTTGTATTTTGTTTATTTATCTTAATTATTAAAGAAACGTACTGAATAAATTTCTACACAGTACAAATTATTGTTTTCTGTTTTAATATTAAACAAGTTTAGAAAAATTCACTTGATTATAGAAACCACTTCCCTCAGTGCATTTCTCTTCCAGTAAAAAACTACCTTTTTGGACCAAAGCTCCAGGATTTTTTGTAGCTCCTTGTCGAAATCAAACAAAAGATAACTGAGAAGAAAGGGTCACAAAGTCACAGCTGTCGACGCTTGTTGCTTGATGGTAGAATTTTTTCAATTTGCTACAGTTTTCCTTTTTCGCAATGAAAAAGCAGCTAACTGAGCAAACTTCATTTCAAGCTGACAATCCAGCAAACCAACAACGACAAACAATAAAACGCCAAATGTCATTTGCCAACTGGAAATTAAGAAAAATTTACGAACAGGCAAAGTTTTTTTGCCTGGAGAAAATGATTTGCATATTTGCAAGGGATGCGAAAGAACATTCTTTATCAATGAGGGGCAATCAATCAGAGGGCCCAGCAGATCGTGACAACAACTTCGATTAAACTAAACTTCCGTTCGTTTCTCTTTCGGCTGCCATAAAATGCACGCCATGAATGTAATGAAATTTCCATACGCCCCATCGTATAAATCACACCATTGTTGGAACGGAAGTAGCCCTCGACCGAGCCAATTTCCAGGCACCCAACAGCCAAGTTTAAACGCTCCAATCACTCAAAGAGTGTGCGTGCCTATATAAGCACCATAAATTCGGGCTTATTTAAATGAGTCCTTTCCAGGACCACGGAAAAGCGGAGACAAGAACGCAGGCTGGGCTTCGGATGCCGCCACACCATATGGCGTTTCGTTTGACAAAGAGCGATGTCAAGGGTTTTGTATCCTTGCCTGCGAAACCAATGTTACAATAATCTCATGGTGGCGAAGTCTTATTGATTTGATGTTTTCGTGGTTGGGTCTGGAAATAGCAAATATTATATTCATGTTTTCTAGCTATGAAAAATACATTTGAATATATATAGAGTTTTCAAACAACACAGTAATAAATTATAAAAAAATAATATATGACATTTCCTCTATTTATAATTAATAATTACATTTATTAAAATATGTGAATATCCCCTGCTATCAGTAAAAAATCGGCTTTAAGCATCTAAATCTATAGGAGGCCACTTGAAACTTTTAAAATAATATTTATTTTAAAACCTTAAATAGATATTGTAAAAATGATTATATAAATTGAATATATCAAAATGATATTATCATTTATAAGCGAATTTTAAATGAAAACACATAATTAAATAAATCCTTTTTAAAATCTACCTAAACAGAAAGACCCAAGCCTTATTTTAAAGCAAAAATATTTATTTTCGGATTTATTTTTAACACCCCTTTTAACAAGCCGTCACCAACAGCAGTATATGAAAAAAAATATATTTATTTTACATTGGTTTGATAGACTTCAAAACGAAAGTTGCTTTTGGTAATCTGTCACACAGAAGGCGTCAGAAAAAAGAGATAAAAGCGATAACAAAATGTTGGCACAAAAAGGTCGCTGAACTGGCAATATTTTCCTTAATGCCGTGAGAGTCCCGAATGTGTGTGTGGATGCTGGACCCCAGGCATAAAGGGGTCTCATATGATTTGCAATTCAAATGGCTTAGTTGAGGATTTGGCCTGACCGGCGGTCATCCGTGGCACTCTTGTGATTGCTTTTTCTATTCCAAAAAACTTGCGAAATCCCCTGTTATCACTATTAAATCATGTTTAAGTTGCTAACTGAATTCGGCATCCTTGTTGATGTCTCACCTTAAAGATGAAGGGCCGGACGGACATTAAGACCGCTTGGCACAGATATGCCAATTACTACTGTATTGAGGGCTGGGAACTGGGAGGTTGACCCAATGTCACACTGCTGTGACGTTGACCATGACCAACTGCGCACTGCTGTCCAATAAGCGAGAAACGGATCTGGGGGCATTAGACGACGCAAATAAACGGAATCGAACGAATTTTCCGACTGAAAGCGACTTTTCCTGAAAGAATCGACAACATTGTGCGATTTTATGTATGTTTGTTAGCCGGAGGAAACGATAGCATATTATGCAGCCGCACATTTTGTTTGGCCATTGAGGGAGACTCGTACGCGTGGGAGGTAAATATTACAGCTGCGAATAGTCCTTGGTTTATCCTTCACACATCGCGTCTCAGCTTATTACTCCATAATTACATATGCTCTAATGAGACTTTCGCTACTTCAAGGCACCCACGTTTCAGATTTTCCTAGTGGCACTAAATCTAATTTTAGCCCGGACCTCATGTGGTCGCTGGGTATAACGCATATATTAATATTACACAATTTAGCTACAACAATGGTGACCCTGGTGTACTGGCTAAATTGACCATCAAAGGCCAAAATTAATTGGCATTTTCTAGGGTGACAGAGCAAATATTTGAAAAAAGAAAAACACTGCCTGTTTACATGCTGATAAAAGTCAAACAGCTGTCAATATAATAATATTGGCTATAATGGCCTTCAAAGGAAAAGTGGGTGGGTAAAAATAGAGTGGTGGACAATATTTAAACTAGTAATGAGTGACTACATTTTTCGAGCGACCACCTAGATCGACTTCAACTTTGTTTAAGCATATTTAAAATGTTTTCCCATTTATATCCAATCTTATCATTAGACTTAATTAAAATGAATTCTAAGAGTATCCTTAAAATCCGATTTTTTTACACATTAAAGCACTAAAAATGTAATCTTTTAAAAGGATTGCCTGCAAGGGAAATTTTCGCACACACCGCAATTTTCTTAGCTTTGCCAAATATTATTCTGCGAAAGCGCGTCGATTCCATGAACTCATTAATCTGGCGTAAAAATGTGTCTTAAGCTTATTTGCCAAGGAAAATTAAGCATGTGCAGGGAGCGGAAAGGCGAGACTTGACGCATGTAAAATATGGGACACATGTCCTTGTCTGCGTCTGGGTTCAGAACCTGTTTCAGAATCTGGAAGGTTAAACACTTAGTGGCCACAAAACGGCATCATTAACTGACTGACTGAGCTGCAAGTGTGATTTCCCCCTTTTTTTTCCACCACCCACTTTTACCATTTTCCCGCTTTTTAGCAATTTAATTTGCCTTTGTCGAGTGCTTTGGGCAGTTTTGCAAAATTACAACACTAAGCGGCTTGCGAGAATAAATTTACCCAAGGACTGGAGCTCAGCTGAGCTGCTTGTTTATGGTACCCAGCATCGAGTATTTGCCCAGCCCTCGAGCCAGTATGTAAACATATGTGCGAACTGCTTTTTGGCTCGAATTTGAGGTGTAATTACACTTGCCGAGCTTTAACGCAAATTAAAGCATAATTTCAGGCGGCTGACACGCGTGGCTGGGCTTAATTACACTCTGTTGACAAAACAAAATGCCCACAAGGCCATCAAGTGCTTGAGTGGCCAACGAGCTGGCCTCAAATGTGACCATGGGGACCGGACGGCGCTTACTTGGCTAAAAATGAGTTAACAACATTATTTGCCCATTGGCCAGCGCTACTGACCACTGTGGCCGTTCCAACATCAATTTTATTAAGGCTGCCAGGATGGCCGCAGGTCCTTGATGACTTCTGCCGTTTGCTCTGCGTCCTCTTCGAATCCTTGGGCCCAGCCCATAAAACAAGTTTTGACAAGAGTTTTATCTGGCACGTCTCCTGTTAGTTGGATGTGTCATAGCGATTTATAAGGATTTGTTGCCACCGAGAATAACCAGTGGCAGATGCAGTGAGAGAAAACCAAAGAAATGAGAAAAGAAGTATACAAATTGAATGTAGAAGGCAAAATTGCTCAACGTATTTGTTAACTCGAGTCGCATAAATACAAAAGCATTATATTTTGTGCGCTCAAGAGCTTGTACATAATTTTATCGCAAACATTAACATAGCTTAATCTCAAATAAACATAGTACACTGTGACTAAAAATTTGTAGTACTCATATATTCGTTTAATACCCTATGATATTTGAATAAAATTAATATTAATAAATTAATATTTTAATAATAAAAGCAAGTAAAGGAATAAATAAAAATTAAATTTATGTTTAAATATTATTGACCGTGCACCGAATGAAGTTTCTTTACTCTTCTCTCAGTGAGTTTTTCCCGTCCTCCTTTTCTTTTTGATAAAATATGAGAATTTTATTTCATTTGGCATTGAAAGTCAATGCACTTCCGCCACTTTAATCTAACCGTAATGAGGCCGCAGGACTGGTTTGTTGACATTTCAGCTTC